AAACCCGAAACCCTAAATCCTGAACCAAGGCATGGGCGCCCTGTGCCCCTCCCTCTCCACAGCCATGGGGACCCGTCGTAGCAGTATTTTCGTAATAATCATAATAATCATAGCAATAATAAGACCGGTAAAAACAGTAGAAATAGACATACGAATTACCCCAGTAACAGTAATAAGAATACTGCTATTTGTGATAACAATAATGATTATTGATAATAATGTACTTGTTATAATAAAAAAAACATCATGATAATATTATAATGATAATAACAAAAAAGATAGTCTTCAACCCTAAACCGACTTGTCAGGGCCTCTGGGGACCTCTCGGCGCCTCAGCCGGGCCGTGTGCTGAATTCAAAGCACGCACTTGAGCTTCGGCCCAAGCCCTACTGTAAAAAGAACAGGGTTTAGGGTTTAGGTTTTGGGGGCGGTTTGCCGGTTAATACGGCGTTGGGTGGGAGAGATTGGCCTTCCACAGACAGGCTTTGCACAGCCCATCGCCATAGTACGATGACCTTGTTGCAAGATACTGGCGCACACGCGTTGAATCCTAAACCCCAGGCCCTGAACCCTTACCCCTGCATCCTAACCTTAGACCGAAACCCGGGCCCGGGCCTCTGGTTGTCATGGCCATGGCATGGATGCACATACCTCAGAGATCAGACGATGTAGGATTTAGGGTTGAGTTCAAGAAAGCCAGGGCTGCGGAAACAACCTCGACTTTGAGTTTAGAGCTAAATGTGTTGAGTTGCGACCTTGGGGGCTGGGGCTTCCAATCTACAGCTTGGGGTTCAGTTCAGGCTTGCCGGAGATCATCAGGAAAGTTCAATACCACGGCACCACGTCGTCGTAGTCGTAGTCGTAGTCGTGGCCGTGGCGGTGGCAGTGGCAAGAAAAGGAGTAGCAGTAGCAGTAGCAGTAGCAGTAGCAGTAGCAGTAGTAGTAGTAGTAGTAGTAGTAGTAGTAGTAGTAGTAGTAGTAGGTGTAGTAGGTGTAGTAGGTAGTAGTAGTCGTAGTAGTAGTAGTAGTAGTAGTAGTAGTAGTAGGAGCAGTAATGGTAGTAATAGCCGGAGAGGAGGAGGACGAGGAGGTCGAGGAGGAGGATGTCGAGGAGGAGTAGTAGTGGGAGGGGTGCGAGAAGGAGTAGGAGGAGTAGTAGGAGCGGTGGGAGTAGTAGGAGTAGTCGGAGTATTCGGAGTAGCAGTAGAAGTCGTCGTCGTGGTTGCTATGCTAATTACGACGACACCACAAACCTCATTGTGCAAGCCGAGGAGCACGTTGTTGTGATGTGGATTATAGTCGGCACAACCGCCATTGCTGGCATAAAGCAACCTCCCCTTCACAGGCGCCTTGGCAAAGCACACGAAGGTGTACTTCAGGGTTTAGGATTTAGGGATTAGGGTTTAAAAGTTTAGGCTTAAGGGTTTGCTTAGGGAGGTCGGTCGCGTGACGACAAGCTCGGCAGGGACGTGCAAGGTTTGGGAGAATGCTATATGAACTTCTATGTCGTTTGTAAGCACATGGGTGTAGTTACATGAGCTAGTCTGCGGCCTGTTAACCTGGTCCCGTAATTAATCACTGCCGTGTATGTGTGATGCTGTGCTGCTCCAAACTGACCTTACAACACGTATCATTGCGTAATTGCTTCTGCATGCTACATACTGTCCAAATGTGCATCCACCTTGAATGCACAGTTGCGCAGACTCCTATGCCTTGAATCATGCGCCTTCTCTGTCCACCAGTACTGTCAGCACCGGCAAGACTACCGAGCAGCTCACGGTCTCTGTCACCATTACCATCATCATCATCATCATTGCCCTAGTCGCTTCTATGGCTGTTCCATGGCCGAAAAGAAGGGAGAATGGGAGCTGCCACAGCAATTTAGATGTAAAGATCGAAGCCATAAGCCCCAAATCCCAAGTGCTTTCCAAGAGAGTTTTAGGGTTCAGGGTTTAGGGTTTAGGGTCTAGGGTTTAGGGTTTAGGGTTTAGGGTTCAGGGTTTAGGGTTCAGGGTTTAGGGTTCAGGGTTTAGGGTTCAGGGTTTAGGGTCCAGGGCCAGGGTGACTGAAAGGCCAAGACACATACTCACAGTGACCGCATCCACTGATTCCCAGACCACCCAGCATGAGCTTGTGGTCACACTGCTCCACCAGGTCCTCAAGGAAAGAGCACCAAACAGGATTCTTTGCTGCAGGGCTTAAGTTTGAGGACCTGGACTGCCACCAAGACTAAAACTGCCCCACAATCACTATGAACGGACCACCAAGACTAAAACTGCCCTAAACCCTAAACCCTAAACCCTAAACCCACAATCACTACGAACGGAGCGCCTGGCGAAACAACAAGCAATGTATTTTCCCAGCCCCACCAGTCATAGCTCTGAAGACCGCCCAGACGTTAAACCCCAGCTACTTGGAGGATCATGGGACTTAGTAAGTAAGGTTATAAGTCCATTAATTGGGGTTATAAGTATAGTTACCCTAATTATAGCCCTACTTACTAAGTCCCATGATCCTTTAAGTAGGCGTAAGTTTTGGGTTCAGGGTGTCAGGGTTTAGGGACGCAGCGTGAAGGACGAAGCCATCGCCGCAGCTTCACTTCGGAGTACATGCACCCATCTACAGGGATCAAAACGGCCGGCACAAGAGTGCGTCGTTTTGGCTGGGGGTTGGGTTGTAGTTTAGGGGTTCAGGGTTTAGTGGAGTGAGTTTTGCACAGAGTATGCTCTACAGGTAGACGAGGCTTACAAAACTCTGATGGCTGGAGGCCTCTCTGTCTTTTCCGACCACAACTATACTTTTGTATGGGTGTCTAAGAGGCTTTTTGCCAGCTCTCTGAAGGACTGAACCCCAAGTTAACTCTATGAAACTTCAAGGCCTTCACACTTTCAGGGGTTCAGGGTTCAGGGATCAAGACTCACGAAGGCCCGCATATCAAAGGCCCACAACCCTACACCGCCCACCACCCTACACCCTAAAGCCTAAAGAGCTAATTTAAGGGTTTAGGGCATCCTTATCCTAGCATCTGGCACTCTCAAGAAACACCGCCGCGAATCCCCAACTGCGCTTTATGCCAACAGGGCTCTACGCCTTCATGGAACCCTTGTACGAACCCCGCTTTTGTACCCTAAAAACTAAACCCTTAAAGGAGCCCTTCCAGAACCTGTGAAAACGCTTAGATCCATCTAGGGTTTAGTGTTTAGGGCTCAGGGTTCAGGGTTTTGGGCGACGGCCACGACCGGAAAGCTCAAACCCAAAACTCGAAGTAAACCCCTGCGGCCCTTTACATACCTGCCTCAATAATTGGAATACTTAGGGTTTTGCGTATAGTATAGTATACCTATATAGGAGCTGTGACATGATTTACTCTGATCCGATATTGAACCCCCCCCCCCTGCCTACAAAACCGCTAGCATATGTCTCCGAACAGCGCAAGACCATGCGCTGTGTAACCACCGATGATACCAGGACGACCACGTGCAGGACCAGCCGGACCCCATGAAGACCACAAGCACAACGACGACCAGGACCACCACCACGACCATCAAGACAAGGACGACCAGGACGACCCGACGATCAAGACTATGAGGAAGACCAGGACCAACAGGACCACCACCAGGGAACCATGAAGCAGGAGGCCGTCGGAAGGCAGCGCCCTGCAAAGCGTTCCCGATGCACCAATGGGAACAGGAGTCCACGAAGGAACTCGAGGAGCCTCATAGTGCGGTGTCACTGCTAGGTTTCGAAGCGCGTCGATGTGGCCCTGCCAGGACTTTGGACATTTCGAGTTTCGAAGGCAAGAACGAGGCCAGTGCATTGGCACTCAATTACGATAAAACGTGCTTTCCGGTGGACGGTGGGACTGTGCAAATAATGGAATATGAAAACAAGATACGTGCAGCGGCACAGGGGGAGGCGTGTCCCGGCGTCCACCCTAACGAATACCGTCCCTCACGCCCGGCCTCTAGACTTGACTCGTGAAAAGCCGTCCAGAGCCCTTAGAACCCCAAAGCCTACACCCCTAAACCCTAAACCTAAACACAAACCCCCTGCAAAACCTTTTAACTCGATCCTGGTAAAGGCAGGCGTAGGAGTCATCACCGGCACCCAAGAAAGAGCGACGCTTCGTCGCCTTCCAACACCTCGGGACAGGCTTCTTCAAGGCTTCCGTCAAGGCTTTGTCAGAGGAGTCCTCAAAGAGTTCTTGACAAACTCTCCTCAAGGTTCAAAAAACATGGATGTTACGATGTTTTTGAAAGGGGGTTCAAAAGGCCTCGACTAAAGTCACTAGAGCTTTGGCTGCAGGGGGGTGTAGGATTTTGGGCTGAGGATTTAAGGTTTAGGATTCAGCCTGCGCGCGAAAACCCCACCGAAGAGTGTGTACTTTGATGTGGGCTCGACTCCAAACCCATAAACCACCCCACCGGCATGAAAGCCTAAATAGATTTCAAGCAGGGTTGGGGGTATGCCATATAATACATGACCAAAGAAACCTAAAGGAACAGAATTCTCAACTTTCTGACCATAACATGAGACCTTCGCAAGACCAAGAAACCCTAATCTAAACCCCTCACCCCCGCGTCCGAAGCGCAGCGCCGGATCCGCGACCTTGCAGGCCTTCCGGTAGGTCCTGTGTTCAGGGGTTGAGATTTAGGGTGCTGGGGCTTAGGCTCAGGGCTTTTAAGTTTTTTAGGTTTCGGGGTCCTAGGGCTTAGGGCTTTAGGAGTTGAGGCTTTAGCAATCGCTGGTGACGGCGGCAGTAGTGCGGCTGGTGCTGTTACTAGTTGGGCAGTTCTCTAAATTAGGGTCCCTTTTTAGGTCCCCAATATAGTACGGCACCCGTATAATATGGACCCTAAGAGGGACCCTAATTGAGAAAACTACCCATTTAGGTTTAGGGTTTAGGCGGCTGCGGTTGAACATGCGATTGCTTCTGTCGCTGCTGTTGTTATCGTGGATGTTGCTGTTGTTCGTGGTAATTGTTCTGACACCCGAACCCGACATGCTTAAACTTAAACCCTTAACATTATTACCTTGCTGAAGCCATAAGAAGATTTCCCAGCTGCCGAGCGTCATGCCGTAAAGGACGCCGATCGCACCAACCTCACGGACCTGGGCCCAAGATGGGTCAAGATTATAAAGCCAACAGACAATGTGTTGTTCATAGTGCTGGTGGTGTATGTGGTGGCGTAAATGTAGCCTTGGCCGCAGTGTGCAGCGTGCTTGCACTATCTTCTGCCGCATGCTAACGGCCGTGTAGATACAGGGCCGTAAGCCATCATGCCATCATGTGGAAGAGTCCGCACCTAGTCGAGCAAAAAACAGATGGTAGTGAAAGGATGATGACATGATACTACTGATGGTCATCAAGGTCATGGTCATGGCCAGGGACATGCTGAAGATGATGGTGACGTTGGCGACCGCAAAAGGGGGATGACGACATTGGTGGTAGTGATGATGATGATGATGATGATGATGGTGATGATGATGAAGATGATGATGATGGTGATGATGACGACGATGATGATGACGGTGACAGATATGATGATGGTGATAATGATGATGATCATGGTGGTCATCATGATGGTGATGGTGATGCTAATGCTGATGATAATGCTGATGGTGAGCACATCCATTGCTGTCATCACTGCCATCGTCACTGCGATTGTAAGCGTTAACCATTATCATCAGCTTCATAGGCTTCATGTCATGTCCTTCTCTCTATCGTGTTCGCACCGTTGTTGATCTTACGACTCGAATTGCATAGGGCCCGGACGGCAGGCATCAAGTAACACGAAGTGCCCCAACCCCCAAACCCCGCACAGAGCCCTAATGGAAGAGACTCCAGCACTTGTTTTGGGTTGTTCTGGGTCGGACCAGAGACGGCTTACAACACTGTGCCCTTCAGTTTGGCTTGAGGTATAAGTTTTCAGGCTCAGGGTTCAATAGTTCAAGGATTCGAGGGTTCAGGGGTGCAGCCTTCGCTTTAGATCCCTGACCTTAAGGCGAAGCCCTAATTTAGGGTTCAGGGTTTAGGCTTCAGGGTTTAGGGTTCAGGGTTCAGGGCGTTCCATTAATTGGGGGTTATAAGTATGCTTACCCTAATTATAACCCTACTTACTAAGTCCCATGATCCTTTAAGTACGCAGATTTCCCTGCCATCTCCGGGCTCCCAGCCAGCTCCGTGCATTGGCTGTAGATGCGGCACTGCTTTGTCGACATGACTTCCCCTGCCCAGTCAAAAGTGTGGAGGTTTAGGGTTTAGGGTTTTAGGGTTTTAGGGTTTAGGGTTTAGGGTTTAGGGTTTAGGGTTTAGGGTTTAGGGTTGGTTCGTGCGGTCAGTATGGGACCCTTAATAGTTGGGCTAGGGAACTTTTGGTGGTACATGGTCAACCCAACACTCCCCGTCCCCTCATTGACCCCAGAATCGAAACGCACCGGATGCTTGTCTTACGGCTTTGCAAAAACCTTAACCTCAATCCTTGAACCCTGCCTTGCACCCTAAATCCCTCAATCCCTGAACCCCTAACCAAACCCCTGAACCGTGGGCATCTTGCCTTCCCAGAAGAAGGGGCACTCTTGTGCCAGGCATCGCGTTCGGCAGTTGCCTGGATCCAGACCTGTGCTGCTGGTTGGGCTGTATAAGGTTAAAGGAAACTACAGGTGGGGAGTTTAGTGTATATAGGGCTTCTATACGGCTTCTAAAAGGTATATACACCTTCTATAAGGCTCCTATAACGGTAAGTACCCACCTGAACATGTCCTAGACCCTAAACCCTAGACCCCTAACTTTGAGAACGGTCGTCCCAAAAGAACTCTCCATGTGGATAATCAGGTGTTGCAGGATTCAGGGGTCAAGGTATATGAGAGTTTTCAGGCTTTGGGTTTAGGGTTCGAGGGGCCTTGGCATGTTAGGGTTTTCAAAAAGTTAGAGCTGGGGGTTTCACGGGGGGGTATACAACAAGTATCTTAATGTCATACTGATCTTGACGTTCTGTCAGCGGTCTTTACTAACCCAAAACATGCTAATTCCACCATGTCGCCATCGCTCTCTGTCTCCACGACCACCTCCACAAGGTACCTGGTGTTGAGGCATGCGACTTGGGGTTCCGTTCAGGGTTCAGGGTTTGCGGTTCGGCTTGAAAGTTCAGGGTTTAGGGTTTGATGGGCGACAGACTCTTCTATATGGAGGTCTGGATACTTCGTAACGATGGACCACATATTGATTGATAGATATATACTGCCAAAACCCTGATCGAATCACAAGGCATCGTCTTCACCCTAAACCCCAATAGCGACGGGACCCCCCCCCCAATAGCGACGGCAGAGGGNNGCCCCCCCCCCCCCCCCCCCCGGTTAGAAGGTAAAGCTTTATCATCTCTGGGAGCCCCACCGAATCACGGAATGGACCCCAAATCAGAATAAGAAGGCCCCCTGTATGCTAGCTTGTCCAGGTACATACGAATAAAGACCACAAAAACAGAGCAAAATTAATTCTAAAGTTTAAGCTAACTTCCTGAGCAAGGGCTCTTGGGCTCTGTGGGATCAGCATTGGCTGTCATACCCAAGGCCCTGAGACATCAGCCCTCAATCATCAACTAGCAAGATAAAGGTAACCCAGAAACCCAAACAACCTGAAAGAAGGCTGGCACTAGCCTTAAAGAGCCTTACAAAGTCGCTATGAACCCCTAAAGCTCAAACCCTGAAACCCTCATAGAACCCTAACCCTAACTCAAAGCTTCATTGTGCCAGGCTTCTCCTGCTCACACGCGAACTGGCCGTCCACCTCGGCTTCGCGGGCTCAAGGCTAAACCCTGAACCCTGAACCCTGAACCCTAAACCCTGAACCCTAAACCCTGAACCCTGAACCCTGAACCCTAAACCCTAAACCCGAAACCCTAACGGGAGGGGCCTCAACAACTTAGAGGGGCCTGCAGGGTGACCACGGGAAGTCCGCGGTTGAGGGCCTTAGGGTGTTGGTAAACCCCAAACCCAAAACCACCTCTCCGACTAGTGTTCGAGGTGTCGGGGGCCCGGTGGCATTTTCCTCTCTTGGGTTTCGATGCCCACCTTACATCTCCTATTTGGGCTACGAGTTGGTGGGTAATCGGCAGCTTTTGGGATTCCCCACTTTCCCACTGACCCCAAGGAGGCAGCAAACCCTGTTTCGAAAGGGTTATGCGGTTCTAGTTTAGGGTGTGGGAGTTTTAGGGTGTGGGTACATACTTTTGCCACACGAGAGCTCTTAAAGCTGTTTTGCGCCCTCCTGAACTTCTTCTGATCCCGGATACTCGTACCGCAAACCCTGAAACCTAAACCACAAACTTGAACACTGCACCCTGCGATATACCGAGGTCTGAATGACTAGCAATATGGACTACCTAGAGTAACCACCTACCTACTTATCTGTCTGGCTTCCTAATCTATCGATCTATCTGTCTGTCCATCTGTCTGTCTGTCTATGTATCTACCTTACCCTAAACCCTAAACCCGAAACCCTAAACCCTAAACCCTGAACCCTAAACCCATCTCCCTTTTCTATCCATGCATGTAGCTATCAAGAACGAAGGCCGGAGTTTAGGGGGTTTAGGATCTAGGGTCTAGGGTTTAGGGTTCAGTTTAGGCTCCCGAGTCGAATAGGTGGGGTGGTAAACCCAAAACCCTGAAACCCAGAAGTCTGGAATCCGCAAAATTCAGACAAAAGCTCAAGCTCCTGGCAATGACTCCTTAAACCCTAAACCCTACACCCTGAACCGTAAACCCTAAACCCTACACCCTAAACCCTAAACCCTACACCCTAAACCCTAAACCCTACACCCTAAACCCTAAACCCAAAAGCTCAGCTCCTGGCAATGACTGCTGCACCGGACATGAACTCATTGTTGCTGCCGGCGGGTATATCTGTGACGGTTTCACCTGATCCGCAGAAGAGGGCATGGGGTCTTCAGGAGTTTTGCTTTGATACCCCAAACCCTAAACCCCAGAGCCTGAACTTAAACCTTAAACCCTAAACTTAAACCTTACACCCTAAACCCTAAACCCCTAAACCCTAAACTTAAGCCTTAAACCCTAAACTTAAACCTTACACCCTAAACCCTAAACCGTAAACCCTAAACTTAATCCTTAAACCCTAAACCCTAAACCCCTAAACCCTAAACTTAATCCTTAAACCCTAAACCCTAAACCCCCTCGCGAGGGAGTAGGGACCTGAGAATGTCGGGCTTTGGGTCGGGGACTCCATGGGCTTCGACCTCCGGGTGTCGGCGGGCGCGGGCGGTTTTGAAAGAGGCAGGGGGTGTTTAGGGTTCTCGTGTTTAGGTTTTGGGGCTTTGGGTTTTTCGGGTTTGGGGCTTTGGGTTTAGGGTTTTCTTTTTTAGGGTTTGTTGCTTTGGGTTTAGGGTTCTCTGTTTTAGGGTTTGGGGCTTTGGGTTTAGGGTTCCTTTTTAGGGTTTGGGGCTTTGGGTTTAGGGTTGGGGGTTTAGGGTTTAGGGTTTGGGTTTGTTCAGGGTTCCACCATGGAGCTGTCATGCCCTCCTGCATCATCATTTCTTGGCAGATCTTCGGCGATATGCCCCTTCAACGCTCAACTTGAAGCGGCTTAAATTGGGTTTGTAATGCGGCCCTGATAACGGGTTTAACTAGGCCGTGGGCGCTAGACCGAATATAAAAAGAGAACTACCGAAATCGTGTGAGCTACATCCCAAGTCGAGCATGAGCCCCCAAAGGCACCAAATCCTAGACCCCCCAACAGCTGTAATCCCAAACCCGATACGATAAATCCAGACACTTGCACGCATCCCTACACCCCCAAACCCGAAACCCTATAACCAAAACCCGAAACCCTATACCCCAAACATTCAATCCGAAACTTCCGAAAGGGGAGTTAAGTCGCGAAGCCCAATCTCCCGAAGCTTTGGCCCAAGGCACCCGAAACTGGCGGCAAGGAGCCCCAATTAGCTGGAGCCTCGGTAATCAAAGGCACGGGGTGTTACTATAGGCTGTGTAAGGAGCTTAAAGGCTGAAGGGCTACCATAAAGAGTACCATAATGGCTCAGGTGTCAGGCGTCCGGCACCGAAGGAATGGATCTTCAAGCTTAGGGTTCAACGTTTAGGGCCAGGTTTTAACACTTGAGTGGCTAGGGTTAGGGTTGAGGGTTTAGTAGGTTTAGAGTTTGGGGTTCAAGGCTTCGGGCTTCGGGAAGAAAGCTCTCAACGGTTTGAGGATGCTCACCTTGGTTTGCGAAGAGCTTTCCAGGGGATTTTCTGGGATTCTCGAAGCTTTGATCGGATGTTCGTTGCGGGATTCCCTTGCTTCGAAGGGTCTAAAGTGTGAGACTCTGCAGTTTCCTACTGTACCCCAAAACTATAGTACCCTTTTATGCTCGCACTACTCCGACATAGCACCCTTGTATTTAGAGTAGCTGGAGAAAGAACCCTAAACCCTAAACCACCCTAAACCCTAAACCCTACCCAAGGCATCTGGGAGGCGCAGGAACAGGGATGAAGCCAGTGATCGTCCTCCACGTCAGTGGCGGGGTCATCCAGCACCTCCGGCACGCGCGGGTATAGGGTTAAGGGTTTAGGGCGCACAAAACAAAAACACTACTCTAACACGACAGCGGAACACAGGGCGTGCTTTCGACGGCCATGGCTTAAAGTTTAGAGTTTAGGGCCCAACGTTCCTTCCTAAATCCTAAACCCTAAAACAGTTTCTTAATCCCTTAACACTAGGACGGCTTGGCGGCATGTTGCATTAAGGTCCTTGAGATCAGGGAAGCACTGAGGCCGGGCGGCAATCTCAGAACTCAAACTCTGATATGCAAAAGCGATCAAAGCCAAAAGCCCTCCTGCCCTCGACTGGAAATCCCGTCGTCCTAACTTGTTCGAACCCTCCGTCCTAAATCTCAAGCCCTAAAAACTCCTGTTGCCAGACCCCATTTCCAAACCCTTCGAAACCCCCAAAGGTTTGGGGTTTGGGTTTTCGGGGTTTAGAGTTTAGGGTTTAGGGTTTGGGTTTACGGTTTAGGGTGTAGGGTTTAGGGTTTGGGCTGCTCCCTGAAGCTTCAAATGCAGCGGCGCCAGAGCTTCGACAGATCCTTCGTCTTCCTCGACTCCATCAACCACAGTGACGTTTGGCCTCGGGGCATGGACGGGCTAGAGTGTCGGTTCTAGGGTAGTTGGGCTTAGGGCTTGGGTTTGGGATTTAAGGTTCAGGGTGGGTTCAGGGTTCAGGGTTTGGGGTTTGGGGTGTATAGGGTGTAGACAGAAGACGGCGACAGCATCCAGGGTGTACAATTCTGCACCGGGACATCGAATAAAACACTGCGGCACGAGTCGACCTTCTTGTAGACATGAGAAGGGACAAAACAGTCCTTCCGAGTTGAAGTTAAACCCTAAACCCTAAACCCTAAACCCTAAACCCTAAATCCCAAACCCTAAACCCTAAACCCTAATGTAAGCAACAACGACGTGACTTCTGGCCGACCCAGAGAGTTGAAACCAAACACCCCACAGCCCAAGCACCAAGCCCTAGACCTGAACACCTCATTAGGATTTAGGGTTTAGGATTTAGGGTTTAGGGTTTAGGGTTTAGGGATTTAGGGTTTAGGGTTTAGGGTTTAGGAGTTTAGGGTTTAGGACCTCAAACCGACTGATGCTGCAAAGCCACGGCCGCAGTCAACTCAGACTTCAACATCAATGGGATGTGTGGTTCACACATCAGAAGATGATCAGAGCAAGCCCTGAGCCCTAAACCAAAAAATTAAAAACTCTAAAGCCCCTGAGCCTTAAAACTCTAGAACCCCAAACCCCCAGGTATAGTGAAGGCCATGGGACGTGACGCAGCCAGGTGGGGCCACCGTGGCCTTTGCGCCGGAGACGCCGAGGTGGGTGACCTGGACATTACAAACCCAATACAGAAGGTTTAGGGTTTTCGGGTCCTTAGTAAAGAGAATAAGCTCTTGCGGTACGCTTTGCTGTCATCATTTTCGGTTCACTGCTGCATAATTATTCCAGCCCCGACGCTAGCCCTTAAAGGAAGGGGTGTTCTTCATCAGGAGTCTGACTCTCGATGTCAAAGTGGGCATGGACCACCAAGCGAGGTGAAATTTCTGATATTACCAGGTGTACATTTACGGCTTAGGTTTTACCGTGTATGTGTGTATCTGTATGTACACACCCTAAACCCTAATCTCTAAACCCTAAACCCTAAGCCCTAAACCCCTAACCCTAAACCCTAAACCCTAAACTAAACCCTAAACCCTAAACCCTCGATCAAGGCTGTCCTGCCCTGGCCTCCCACAGAACTCTCAAAGCCAGGACACAGAGACGCAGCTGAAACTTAAAAGCCTTAGGGTTTAGGGTTTAGGGTTTACTTAAATCTCCTCGACAACTGACTCCTGATCCCTGAATTTCCTAAACCCCCCAAAAACCCAAAACTCGAAGCCCTAAGCCACAAAACCCGAAATCCCCGACTAAATCCCCAGGAACCGAAACCCCCAAACAGAGGCTTGCACCGTCAGGGACACTTCCGGTTGCCCAAAGATGTCCTGGCATTCCCCGGTTGACAGGCTTTGCTCCAGGCTCATCGCTGCAACGCGGGTTTAGGGTTTAGGGTACTATAAGGGCCACTGTATGTGTACGGGGCTGAGCGGATATTATTGCTAACTATTCAGACCTCACTGCACAATAGTGGTGTTGGCATGACTTACGGTATATGTCTAATCAGGGGGATGGGACGACATCCTCTAACACCCTATACAAAGCCTAAGAATACCCCCTATCAAACCCTTACAGCAACCTATAAGCATCAGTATAGTACCCCATAAAAATGGAATGATCACAATGCCCTTGTACAGCCCAATTAGAATACCACCTGCCTGCATGCATGGGCATATGAATGAATGGGTGGATGGATGTTGCATCTACACCGGTATACACGACTTGACTAAGTTGACGGTTTACTAACTTCTGACTGATGTTCTATATACACGTATATATATATATATATGTGTGTCTTTATCTACATATATATATATATGTAAAAGGTACTTGTGTTATGTGTTTGTCATCCGTATATATATATATATATTCGTAATTATATGTGTATATATATATATA